TGCGTACAGACCCAGCAAACCCCCGAGGGAATTATAACCAAAAAAATAAAAAAAAAAAAAAGCAAAACCCCCCCCTAAAAAAAAAAAAAAAAAAAAAAAAAAAGAAAAAAATTTATTATATAAATTACCAAATATTAATTTTATTATATCGAGTTTGATGATTTGCATTGAGGATCGAGTCAGGTCATTTTAAACTAGTGAAAATCGAAAAAAAACATGTCAATTGGTAATTGACATATTTTTGAAATTTGACTCGGAACATAACTTTTTAACTTCTTTTATGCATCACTCTGGCTTTTGAATACAGTGCTCTGTTGTGGGAAAAATACCTAAACAGATTCGAAAAATATTACAAGTCGAATAAATCTCTTGAATAAAGATATAGGATATAGTGATATTGGATATAGCGGAAATTTCTTTTTATAGACTCAGTATATAAAACAAATAGGTTTATAATATAATTGTGGAGTGTGTGAACATAAAAATCAAATAATTTAGAATTTTTTTTAATCCTCAAAACAAAATTTCAAGAACAGTCATATGTTCGTTGTTTATAAGTAAGTGGCATCCAACCTTGCTCAACTCCAAGCATAAAGTTCCAAAGTGTAGAACATTCAGTTTTGAAATTCCAAAATGTCCAACCAATCCTTTTTAATTAAATAGAATAATTGATCAACAAAAATAAATACGCAATATAAATATATACAGTAAATATATAAATTCAAGTTTACCCGGCTTCATAAGCATCCATTTGTGCCGATGCGTATTGTTTCAAAAAGATTTTATGCTCAGAAGTCCAATTCCGATAATCGTCTTTAAATTGACACGTATTGCTAGAATATTTGCACGATGAGCCATGGGTTGTACTAAGACTCCTATTTATATCCATGTGATAGCACGATTTAAAAATTAATGATTAAGCACTTAAGTAATATAACGGCAATAAAAAGATTTAAATCACCATTCTCCCACGAATCTCAAAACATCTTGACTAGTAGAAGAAATATTATAATAATTTGAACAAACATTGACGAGTTGTTCATTAATGCTCATTGTCACAAAATTGCATGTAAATGCATAATAATTATTGATATCCAACGCAACTTTTTTGAATTCAGACAATTTCAGAAACTTTATCGAATCATCAACTTGCAAGAAGGTAGCGTCATACAATATTAAAATATCACTGTTTTTTTCGCGAATTATTTTATAAGCATCTTTAAAATATTCATTAAATTGATTTTTTACAAGAGGCCTATAATATAAATAATCGAAAGATATTATATAATTAAAACTTTTATGTTAGAAATTATTAAAATGAAAATATACTTGGGTTCATTAAGCACACCAATGATGGTAACGGTATTTCTAAACTCAGGACGGCTAAATGTCTCGGTCATGTTTTTTATAACGTTAAGTGTACGATGTATATTATCACCGGTTTGCCATTCAATAGGACCATGTTTACCACTGTGATGATAACCATTCTAAAAATAGTAATTAAAATTTTACCTCATTGTATTAAAATGGTACACAACGACAAATTATGTCACGAATGTTTACTTGAGAACCTGGTGCTCCATGCAAATCAACAATGACTCTCATGCCATATTTTTTTGCCCACCTAACTGCTTTCAATAAATAATTAAAACTGTCCATAATGAATGGTTCTGTTGACTTCTTTTCAAAAGCCCAATAGCCAACAGGTATTCTATTTAAGATTACGAAAAATGTCAGAATGTCTCTAGGCATTTTATTGCACGTGGAATTTATACCTGAGATGATTTAATCCGAATGATGCAAGCTTTTTTATATCCTGCTCCGTTACCCAAGATGACCAATGGTCATGAAGTTGTCTTTTGGCTTCATCACGGCCCAAAAATTTAGTAAATGTATATTCATCGACAACCTGGTCTTGGGGCTTGAATTGCTCAAAAAGGCTTGGTTTAATCCCTAATAAAATGTTATAAAATACAAATAAGTGCACATATAATCTTAGTGATTGGAATATTAATTGTTAATTACTAATAGGAAATTATTAAATTTGTAGGCATTAAGTAATTAAAATAATCCCAAAGCATAGAAAGTTGGTATAGTTATTGAGCGATCAATATCTAAAATATGCAAATTTAAAACACTAATTTAATATTGTATATTTCAATGACTTAATACCTAAATAAAATATGGCGATTTTTTTTTAAATATCCAATTTAATACTTAATCATGAAATATTGAAATAATTGATAATTGTTAAAATTGTATGCCTTGAGGTAATTTAATCACATAATGATTATAATTATTATTACCAAAAAATTATTATTAATGGCTCAAACAATCCGTTACAATAGTCAAGATCTTAATACTTACATGGTTCTAACACCAACCTTACATGGTGCAATGAAATGAAAACATGTATTTAATCAAGAAATTCGAGTCATAATTTAAATGTTAAAAATTACCATCCTCCAAGATTCACTCCACGTATTTTTTCGCTTTTACAATACCGAATAACGTTAAAATGTAGTAAACTACCAATTAATGTAAAAAAGATCGCAAGCAAAAAAAATTTCATCTCTTTAGTGCTGTGAAGTTGGCTTCTCCTGTAGTTGCAACTTCAAGCGCTTTACAGAATTTAGCCCCTAAAATTAGATCTTAATGAATGCATTAGCTAGCAAGTTTAGGCAGGTTTAACTCCAAACAGATGCTACCTTCAAACACGACAGCTGCATTGCATTTCTATTGTAAAATCTTTGATTGCGTGCAGTTCTGATTTCCGGCAATAGTAACATTATGCAGAAATATGCGTCTCGGGTTGGAAATGGACTATGATACACGTAATTTGAAAAAAATGTCAATGGTGGGTCAATGGGAAATACTTCTTTGTGCGCGTAATACAAAAAGGGGGACGTCTAAAGCGGAGTAGATTCTTATAATATATATTTGAATTAGCTTTAGGGTTAGAGTTATCTTATATTAGAGTTAGGATAGGTTTTAGGTGGTTATATATAAGTAAATTTGCCTTCCTGACATTTTTTATTAACCCATCCGAGGTAGGTTTAGACTGCCGTTTTTGTATTTTTCAGGTTTTTCGTTTTTATTTATTGCTTCGCCGGCGATCATCCAAATTCTATAATTTGATTGGTCAAGTGATGGGTTGGGCGGGACAGGATGAAAAACCCCAGACAAATCTTGAACCAGCTAAAGTCATGGTATTTTGTCTGGGAAAACCCATTCCCTATGATGTCACAAAAAATTATAAATTAAACAGTTTTAATCGTTTAACCTATTAATCTTACATTGCAGCGCAGCCGTAGAGCCTTACTAACGGCATAAAATGCTTATACAAGTTAACCAATAATCAAATGGTCATTAGTTACTGGGCTACAATCATAAAGCAGAATCTACATTATATAGTTACTGAACTGCAAATAAGGTCCTTGCGCTGTTATGCAACCATGGAGCCTTAAATCTATTGACGCCTATCGGCGTAAGATACGTACGTACGTACATAAATTAACAGTTAAACAGTTGATCGGTGATCATTGCACGATCTACTAAGCAGCTTTATGTATATATTTATTAAGGTCCTTGCACTGCTATGCAACCGTAGAGCCTTACGTATATTTGCATCATATGCTTAAGCCATTGATTTGATGACCATTGAGCTGCTGCTTTCAGCCATTGAACCACGATCGTACTAAGAACACTCTAATTCATAAAGTCATTGAGCTGCAATTAAGGTCCTTGCACTGCTACGCAGCCGTGGAGCCTTACATCTATCAATGCCTATCGGCATAAAATACTTACACTAAGAAACTCTATGTCATGTATCCTTGCACTTCTATGCAGCCGTAGAGCCATACATATACCAATGCCCATCAGCACCATTTGCTTAAGCCATTGATCGGTGGTCATTGAGCTGCTTTCAGTCACTGAGCCACGATCGTACTAAGCAAACTCTAATTCTTAAAGTCATTGAGCTGCAATTAAGGTCCTTGCACCGCTACGCAGCTGTGGAGCCTACATCTATTGACATAAGATACTTACACACAAATTAAAACGTTGTTCTGCGGTCATTACACGATCATACTACGCAGCTCTATGTCATATATTCATTAAGGTTCTTGCACTGCTATGCAGCCGTAGAGCCTTACATCTACCAATGCCCATCGGCATACGATGCTTAAGCCATCGATCGAGTAGTCATTGCACTGCATTCGGTCTATGAGCCACGATCATGCCAAGCAAACTCTAATTGAGCTGCAAATAAGGTCTTTGCATTACTACGCAGCCGTGAAGCCTTATATCTATTAATACTTAATGGCATAAGATACAAAGTTAAAACATTTACCAGGCACTCCGTGTCAAATAATCATTGAGCTGCAAATAAAGTCCTCGCACTCTATGTAGCCGTAGAGCCTTACATCTATTAATGCCAGACTCTATATAAAATCAAGGTCCTTGCATTGCTATGCAGCCGTAGAGCCTTACAACCACCAATCCTATCGGCATGCGATACTTAGGTCATTAATCGATCATTCATTGCACTGTTTTAAGCCACTGATCCACGATCATACTAAGCAAACTCTAATTCATACAATCATTGAGCTGCAATTAAGTTTCTTGTACTACTACGCAGCCGTGGTGCCTACATTAATTAACTGTTGATCGAGCGGTCACTGCACTAAGCCGTGATCATACTAAGCAGACTCTATATCATATGGCCATTGAGCTACAATCGAGATCCTTGCACTGCTACACAGTCGCAGAGATCTTCAATTTAGACAGTACCCTTTCTAACTATGGGTGGGGAACAAAGCCATCCTAATATCATATGGTGGGCGATAGCGAAACCAAAGATAAAATTTCTTTAATGCAAAATTTTCCCACATATACCAGCTTTCACATGATTAAGCATGATATCATATTACGCCTACAAATTTATGTACCTTTATGTCATCTTTGATTTCGCAATAATGTTGGCTTCGTCAATCCAACTTATTCGATTAGATTATAAGAAATAGTTGGTTTTTTAAAATCCGCCACAAATACCCATACTGTAACCGTTGTTGGGAGAGCTTTAATAAGATTATGTGGATAAAGGCCAATTTAAC